CACGGTCTCACCTCAGACAACCAGCTCATGGAGATGAGGGGCAGCAGGCGAGTGGAGGCGCAGACGCTACATTAAGTCATTGTCCCAGGTTCTGGGGAGCCCAGAGGCATGAGCAAACTGAGCTGGCCGTGGCTTCTGCTTCCTCCCATCGTCCGCCTGGATTCAGCCAGTCCTGGGGGCCACCCTGGGCCTGGTCTGAGTCACTGACAGCACGTAGTCCAGCTGGCCTTTCTCCTGCCTGGCCTGGGCCCAGAGGCAGCTGCTGTCACCACGGGACATTGGGGGTTGGGAGGAATCACGATTGGGCCAGAGAGAGGTCCTCACACAGTGAACCGCCAGCACCAAAATGGATAAAAATCAACTACATTGACAAACAGCTTGCCTGTGTCCATTCTTGGAGTCCTGACACCCTCCTGCTAATAACCCCTGATGACCGCCAGGGCAGGTCCAGGCGGGGACGCAAGGTCTCTCACGGCGCCATCTCCCTTCATCTCTTTACCATGTTGCCTTGCCGCTCTTTTCCTTCACTTTCTCTTTACCTGCCACTCACTCCCACAGTCATAATCTCCATCAGGGACCACCCACCTCCTAGGTTGCCTCCCAGGTCTCCTCCCAGCCTCCCGCCCTGTACCTGGACCAGGACCATGCTAGGACGCCACCAGCTCTAGGGCACAGTGTCCTCCCTTTCTGTGTGGTGGTCACCCCATGTCTTCACTCTCGTCTCGTATGTCATCCCAGCCATTCCCCTGCATCTGCACAGCTCAGCAGCCCCATCTGTCTCCATTATTGTCACCTGCTGGGGCCCAAGGCCTTGTCCACTGCACGCCTGGCCCCAGCCGCAGAACAGGACCCCGCCTACAGTCCCACCCAGTTCCCGGCCAACGCCCTCTCCTCAGTGGCCAGCCTCGCATCTGCATTCACTGGCCTTCCTGCCCTCCCAACATCATGTCCACCAGGGGAGCTCCGGGCCTGCACGCCGTGTGCACAAGCCGGGACTCACCTCCGGCAGCCCACGGGGAGCTCCCAGGGCCGAGGCCCCCTCGGAGCTGGATCCCATCCCCTCCCATAGCCTCAGGGGCTCTGCTCGCAAATAGCCCTCCTCCTGCACACACCATTAGGATTTCCCCAAGCTCCAGGGATTTCCAACGAAGCACAGTATCTCCCGCCGCCACGGGAGTCCCGTAGTACACACAGCTGTTCCCAGCGCCCTCACTTGCCTGCATTCCCACACGGCTCGCCATCTTGCTGGGGCCCTGGGACAGACTCTCACCTATGGAGGGTGAACGGAAGCCCTGCGTGTCACACCCTCTTGTCCCCATCTACGGCTTGACGCACACAGGAGCACAGCGGCCGTGCACCAAGCGGCCGGGGCCGAGCCACAAGGCCGGCGAGCCAGCGTTCCCAGACACGGCTTGGAGGAGAGCTGCCCGGTGATCAGCACCAGCCATTTGGGGCTTCACAGGATCAGGAAACGCACTTCTGTTGTGCTTGAGCCATGATACGTTTTGGGCCTTGGGTGTAACTGCAGCTGGCATTGCCCTAATTAACTCAACCACACCCTGTCCAGTTCCCACTTCATCATCCCGCCTCACAGCGGCACTCCTGGGAGGAGCTCTCTGTTGCCACTCTCTCCGCTGCCTTGTGTCTAATTCTCTGACCATCCCACGCCCATCGGGACCGCCCACTATGCCACAGAGAGCCCGCAAGCCATGGCCGTTGAGGCTGTCCACCTGCGCACCCAGAGGTCAGCTCCGGCCCTGACCTCACGCCCCCCGCCAGCAGCACTTGATGCCCTTGTTGCCTGTCGGATGCTCTCCTCTCTGGCGTTGGGGACTTCACAGCTGCCCTGCGCTCACTACCTCGCTGGCTTTGCCTACATGATCTCTTTGGCTGGATCCTCTCCTTTCTCCGCTCTCACAGGTGGAGACCAAGCCCTGGCTGTTGTGGCTCATCTGGTTGGAGGCGTGTCCCATAACTGATGGATTTGTGTTTGATTTCTGGTCAGCGCACATACCTAGGATGCCGGTTCTGGACCTGGTTGAGGTATACACAGTAAGCAACCAACTGATGCTCTTTTCTTGCATCAATGTATCTCTCTCCCCTCCTTTCTGCCTTCCACTCTCTCTAAAAAGCAATGAAAAAATGTACTTGGGAGAGAATAAAAAAAAATTAAAATTAAAATTGGAGCCCAAGGACCCGGTCTCAAAACTCTTCGCCGCTGGCTGATCTCACTCGGGCCTGGACTTGAAATCGGCCTTTGGCTCTCAGGGCACACGCGGCCCCATCCGAGTACCGGCTTGTTTCCCGATGCCGCCACCTGGGGGGCAAAGGGCCATGTCAGGGCCAAACCAGACGATTTACTTCCCCCTCAACCTTGCTTCGTCCCCACCCGTGTTCCCTGTGGGGGGTCACCCTTTCCCTCCGCTCTCAGCACCCAAGTCCAACCCACGCCAATCAATACACCCCAAATGCAGGCTCCTCTCTCCGCCCGCCCTGACGGCCCACGCCTGACCCTTGTCACCCCTCTCGGGGAGTATAAGCCAGCCTCAGGGGACCCACCTGCACTTGTCCCCTTCCCAGTGTGCTCTCCACACAGCAGCCCCGGGGCACTCCCTCTCACACGTGTCCCCTAGTGTCACTCCCCTCTGCGAGGCCCAGGAAGGACCTGGATGTCTTGGCCCTGGGACTGCTCTACCCTCATCACATCCCACTGTCTCCTTTGGTCATGGCCCTGCAGCCACACTGGCCTCCTTACGGCTCCAGTAGCACACAGGGCGCGTGCTCACCCCAGGACCTTTGGACCTGCTCTCCTCTCTGCCAGGAGTGCTCTTCGCCCAGCTCTCTGCGGGCTTTGTCCCCTTCCCCCACTCGGGTCTCATCCCATGTCACCTCTGGAGGTGCCGTTCCTGACTCTACCCCTCGGACACCCTGTTCCTGTCCGAGGCATGGTCTTTTCCCATCACTGTGTGTTATCCATTCATTTCTTGCCCTGCTTCCCCGCCCCCACCCCCGCATGCCCCTCCACAGAGCCCAAGGCAGGGACCGTTCTTGTTTGCTCACTGCTGCTCCCCAGGGCCAAGGGCCGAGGCCGCTCTGTAATCACTCAGCACAGTCCCCTCATGGATGAAGGATGCCCCTTCATCCATGCCCCGAAACACTAAGAGAAAGGCTCATGCATCCCCCCCTGTGGAGCAAGGAGGTGACTCCAGCCATGAAATGGGAAGTGGAAGTGAGAAACAAGAACAGGCAGCTTTGGAAGGACCAAATTGTAATTTCGAAATGAAAGGTATAAATGCAGAGGTTACAGTTCCCATGGTGTGGGAAACATGAGGCCCAACGGAAGGGCTGAGGGCCCAGCGAATTCAACCACGGAGCCCAGGCCGGTGCTGGATGCAGGAGCTGCCAACCTCCCACAGGAGGAGGCAGATGCTGATGAATTCTGGGCTGAGGCTGTGATGTGAAGTTGAGGCATTTGTCCCTTCATCCATTTGACGCACATGATTGAGAGCCTACTACGTGCCAGGCGGGCCTTTCCCTGTGTCACTGAGAGACAGCAGTGAAGGAAATGGGCCACCATTGAGGAGCGCACAGTCCAGGGCTGGGAATCAGCTAAGAAGGAGCTGGGAGAGGAGGCGATGCGGGCGCTGGGTGGCAGGATGTGCTACTACAGGGGAAGGGAAGCGGGAGAGGGCACGGGGAGAGCCACAGCGGGAGCGGGGGGGGGGGGGGGGGGGCGGGGAGGGCCCACGTGGAGGTGCACCGGCTGGGGGGGGAGGCCCTCCCTGCGAACGAGGAGACTGAGGCACCGGCTTGCTGGCGTGAGAGGTTCCGGGCAGAAGAAAGAGCAAGTGCAGACCCTGAGGTAGAGACTTGCCAGGCACATTGAAGAGACAGGACAGAGGCCCAGAGGCTGGCGAGGGGAAAGCAAGCGAGGGGGGGGCCGCGAGCCCAAAGGCGGGAGAGGGCCGAGCTCGTGAACAGGCGTGGGCCTTCGCTCTGTGTTTGATGAGGAGAGGCTGCCCGGTTCTGAGCACAGCAGCGACTGGTCTGAGGAAGGCAAACAGCCTCCGTGTGCGAGCGGAGAACAACCTGCGAAGGCCCGCGGTGGAGGCGGGAGGCCAACGCACAGGCCGCTGCGGGATCCTGGGAAACAAGGCCAGGGCTGCGGCAGGTGGCGGCAGCAGTGGGGGAGGTGAGGTGGGCACAGTCCTGGGGGTCAGGTGTGAAAGGAAGGGGGGCAGCGATGACTCCAGCGCATTGTCCTGAGGGCTGTGAATGGGAAAGCCGTGGGGGCGGGGCGGATGCCAGAGGGCGCTCCACTTCGGCGCAGGGGCTGTGAGACGCTTACTGCACACACACAACACACACAACACACACAGGCCCTCCCAGTGCACAGGATGTCGCTCCACGCTCACACCAGCCCCAACATTAGGAGGATCCCCAGTGAGGCCGGCGGGGTCCGAGGAGGTCCTAGGAGCCCCATTTGGCCCAGGACTGAGCCGAGGCCTCGCCCACAGCCGTCAGACACCAAGCGGTTGGCCTGGCCCCCAGCCCCGACAGGGCAGGCGCTGCTGGTCTTTTGCTTGTGCTCCCTCAGATCCCAGTTAAACTTTGACCAAGGAAACGATTACTGACTCCTATCCCATAGGTGGCACCTGGTCACAGTTTAATTCCAGTCGGGGTGCCTTCAGTCTCCACCTTCCCCACGTCCCTATTCAGGTTCTCCTGGAGATCCAGGTTCTGCCGCATCTCTGGGGAGATGCCAGGGGCTCAGGGTGACCCCACGCACCCTCAGGTCCTGGGTGGAGCCAATCTGAGTGACCGCGCAATCTGAGTCACCCGCCCCCGAGTGAGTGAATCAGAGGGGCCGATGCTGGACTCCAGGCTGCCTGGCAGGAGAGCCCTTGCTGCCACCGGGGAAGCAGGCTGTTGGTGTGGGCTTCTCGGCCCTGGGCCGGCCTCTCTGACTGGCTACATACACTGGTGCCCTGGGGAGCTTCATGGCCTTTTCTGAACTCCTGGACAGAGTGAGCAGCCTGGGCCGGTTCCAGGGTCTCCAGACACTGGCCTTGGCGGTCCCCATCATGTGGCTCAGTGCTCTGATCCTGCTGGAGAACTTCTCAGGCGCTGTGCCCGGGCACCGCTCCTGGACAACAGTGCCGCCCAGGCCAGCGCCCCCGGGGCCCTGGGCCCTGAGGCCCCCCTGGCTGTGTCCATCCCTCCGGGTCCCAACCATGGGCCCGACCAGTGTCGCCACTTCCGCCACCCACAGTGGCAGCTCCTGGACCCCAATGCCACAGCCACCAACTGGAGTGAGGCAGCCACGGAGCCCTGCGTGGATGGCTGGGTCTACGACCGCAGCACCTTTACCTCCACCATCGTGGCTGAGGTGAGGGCTTCCCCCGACACCCTCCCCAAGCCTGGGCACCTTAGAAGCCAGATTCACTGCGTGCAGTTGGCAGGACTCAGAATAGCCCAGGACCAGAACGCCTCCTCACTCGCCAGGACCTTCCAGCCACCCTCCTTGGCCACGTCTGCAGGCAGAGGGCTTGCGGGCAGGACATGGCCTACAAAGGCCTGGGCTGGTGGAACAGCGGCTGACGCTGGCGGCATACGCAACACGCGAGGGCGGCCCTTCTGCCGATGTCAGCAGTGCCTCTGGCAGCTCTCTCCACACGCGGGCCATCGCTCCATCTCTCACAGGGACCTGGGGAAGATTCGTTCGATTCCCAGAGGCAACCCCACAAGGGATCACTGAACGAATCTGATCTGGCAACGTGGAGAGGCGACCCGCCCCAGCCAGCGGGAAGGGGCCTCTTTGTACAGAACCAGAGGGAAGTGGGAGGAGGTACCAGTTCTGGCAAGGCAGGAGCGGGCAGGCGAGGCGAGGGAAGGCTGACCCCTGGCAGGAGGGCTAAACGGAGTCACGCAGGGGCTTAGGCCAGGGGTGACAGCCCTCACTGCCCCACAGGGCACTGCCTCACATCCCAACAGCTCACCCGGCCCACCACCCACACTCAGCTCCCTGGGGCCTTCCCCTCTAGCTCCTCTGCCCCCGCTGGCTCCCCCTACCGCCTGAGCTCTGCTCCCCCTCTGCTCTCCCACCAGTGGGACCTGGTGTGTGGCTCTCAGGCCATGAAGCCCATGGCCCAGACCATCTTCCTGGCTGGGCTCATGGTGGGAGCCACCATGTTTGGCAGAGCCTCTGACAGGTGGGCACCTGCCGCCCCCTTCCCGTTCCGCAGGCCCTGTTGCCATCGCTGCCCCCTTGCTCCAAGGTCCCTGAGTGCGGGTCTCCCTCCTGACCCTGTGCAGCTGTCCAGCTGAGCAGGGCTGGGACCCTCTCTGGGCCTTGACTTCCCCGGCTCTCCTCCGGGGTTGTGGAGGGTCCTGCTGTTATCAAACGTTCGCTGCTGAAGCCCGTGCAGCCACAGGTCTGCCCTCAGCTGCTGCTTGGGTGCTCCTGCTGATGGAGAACTCATTTGTGGCCGACACTACCTTTGCGCTCCCCCTGTGTTCCCAAGCCCCGCATGGATGAAGAATGCGGGTCAGGCCCTGGGTGTCATTTCAGCCTCCCCTTCTGCCCCGTGTGCAAACGTAGGGTGGGCAGAGGGGCTATTGGCTCCTCCACACCCCCAAAGCCAATACCGCAGCCCGTGTGGACCCGCCTGCCTCCAGTGTGTGTCACAGGTTTGGGCGCAGGCTGGTGTTGACCTGGAGCTACTTTCACGTGGCCGTGTGGGGCACAGCGACTGCATTTGCTCCCACTTTCCTTGTCTACTGCCTCTTCCGCTTCCTGGTGGGCGTGACCTGCTCAAGCATCTTGGTGAACACCCCCGTTCTCCGTAGGTCCCCTGACCCGGGCAGAGCAGGGAAGGCTCCTGCAGGCTCCAGGGATGACCTGTGTGGTCTTCTTGCAGTGACGGAGTGGACGTCTGAGCAAACCCAAGCCTTGGTGCCGACCCTCAGTACCCTGGGCTACAGCTTCGGCATGGTCCCGTTGGCCGCGGTGGCCTACGGTCTACGCGAGTGGACGCTGCTGCAGCTGGTCCTCTCTGTCCCCTTCTTCCTCTTCTTTGTGTACTCCTGGTGGGTGTCACCCCACCGCCCTGCCACCCTGCACCCAGAGAATGGGAGACCCTCCCCTGGGGGAGCAGGAGGTTGATGTGCAGGGCAGGAGCCAGGCACAGACGGCACGCACAAGCACTGCATGGTCACCCACTCCACCCATGGTCCAAAATGCATCTCCTTCCTCTGTCTCCCTTGCTCCTTGAGGGTGCTTTCTCCTTCCTTCCTCAACCTTCTCCCTCGCCCTTCCTTCCGTCACCTTTCATGACCCTAGCCACCCACCCTGTTGTAGCTGGTGGGTGCCCATTGTGACCTCTCCTTGTTGTACCCACGGCTCTCCCTTCAAAAGCTGCTGCCCCTGAATTCCCTCACCAGCCCCGCCTTTCTCTGGCCACCAGCCTCCTGTTTCCAGCAGCCTCTGTGACATCTCCACGATTGGGACCCCACACCGAAAAGTACCATCTCCGTGCCTGCCACTCCCGAGGGCTCCCCAGGCACCCCCGGCGTTCACAGCAGCCGCCGCCCTCCAGGTCCTGCAGTGAGAGTTGCCATGACACCTCCATTTCCCTCACCACTCCCCCAGCCCACGTCCCGCAGGTCGCTGGGTCTTGTCAACTCTACGTCCTATGGGCACCTTGATTGCTCCCTTCTGTCCCCTGTTCTGCAAGCTCCAAAGGACCTCATGGGCCCAGTGGGTGTGAAGCAGTTGCCCCCCGCCCCGCTGCCGCTGGCAGGGAAAGTGTGTCTCGCTGGTAACCGGCAGGATCATGGCCTGCGGGTAGGAGCCAGGGTGGACAGGTGGGCACCGGAGGGACCTCGGCCAGCCGGGTAGACAGCACGGGAGATGCGGACTTGACGCTGAGGGCCATGGGAGCCAGGTTAGAGATAGGGTCAGGGTCCTGCCATGGGGAGGGGCACTGGCATGCACAGGGCCCAGTGGCACCCAGGAGGCGGCTGCGGTTGTCCAGCCGGGACAACAGGGACAAAGGTGAGGCAAGGCCCATGGGCCAGTGGAGCACAGGGGCTACTAGAGGTGACAAGAACTGCGGACGGACTAGGTCCCAGGAAAGTATGAAGCTGTTTGCAGGAAGGGGCCCGGGAAGGAGCCAGCTCAGGCAGGATGGTGGGGCCAGGGAGAGGAGGGGCTGGGGGCCAGGCTGTGTGACCGGCAGGCAGGGCCAACAGTGGGGCGCGGACCCTGGCAGGCCCCTCGTCTGCGGTGGGCTGGCAGGACGGTGCTCCTGCATCGTGGAGGTGCGGGCCAACCCGGCTGCCCCCAGGCCCACCCAGGCCTGGCTCCCAGATGAGGCCGGGGAAGGGCTGTGCGGTCAGGAGGGGGTAGACGGTGAGAACAAGACCCCCGATCGGAACCTAGTGGAGAGGGGAGGGAGGGAAGGGGGAGGAAAGAGTCCTGCTGCGGAAGACGGTGGGGCTGAGTTGGTGCGGCCGCCACCTGTCACAGTGCCCCTCGCAGCCCACCCACTGACCTTGCCACGCTGAGCCCTGAGGCCACCCTCTGTGGCAGAGGGGGAAGGAGGGGCAGTGACGCTTGTGTAGGCCAGGCTCCAGGCCACCCATTGGAGCCAGGCCTGGGGGCCACGGGCAGTGATGCCCCACCCCTCCCTCGCCCCTGCCCCAGGCGGCTGGCCGAGTCGGCACGCTGGCTCCTCATTGCAGGCAGGCGGGAGTGGGGCTTGCGGGAGCTGCAGGAGGTGGCATCCGTCAACGGGAAGAGGGCAGCATGTGACCCTGCTCAGGGCCTCTGGGAGGCCAGCCAAGGGCTCCAGACCCCTAGGGTAAGGGTGTCAGAGAGAAGGGCTGCCTGGAGTCCCCGGTGCTCACAGTGCCCTCCCCCGCCCCTCAAGGCCTTGCTCTCAGCGCTGCAGGAGGAGCTCAGTGTGAGCCAGGCTCCGCCAGCCTAGGCGCCCTGCGTCGCACCCCTGGAACTGGGCCTCCGCACCTGCGTCTCCACTGCATCCTCGTAGATGTTCCTCAACCCCCAGCCCATCCAGGCCCCAGCCTCTGCCTCTGGCCTGCCCGCAGGCTGCTGGCCGCCAGGGAACTTGGAATCAGGGCTCTGGCTGGTCCCACTCACCCACGGGCGCCCCTCCCACAAGCCCTGTGGCACGGGCGCCTCTCTCAGTGAGCCAGGCCGGGCCAGGCGGGCTCTATGGCAGAGTCTATAGAAGAGGAATATCAGGGATTCAGACCAAAGGCGCTGGGGAGAGCTGAAGAGCCCGGGAGGATGAGGACGCAGTGGGAGAACGCACACCACCTTAGTTTGGAGGGCCCAGGAAGGCAGAGGGGTATTCTCTGAGGCCCAGACTCAGAGCCACCCAGCGGAGACTGACACCAGCCAGGCCCCAAGGGAGGGGCCACTCAGTGGAAGAAGGGGCTGTGGAGGGCACACAGACACTGCCAGACAGGACACCTAGGAGTGGAAGGAAGGGAGGAATACCCGGGCTCCTCCCCTGATCCCGCCTCTAGCCTCCCAACGCTGCCTCCCACTGGCCAAACCTAATGAGGTGCTGCATTGGCATGGAGTCCTGGGAAACGCAGTCGGCAGAGGCAGCCCTCTGCCTTTCAGAGCTCACAGGGGGAGGGCAGAAATGGGTCTGATGATCAAAAGCAATTGAGCAACTCAAGCCTCAGCCAGACTCCATCTGTCCCGCCCCCAGGTTCGCCTATGGCTTCACCTTCTTTGGTCTGGCCTTGGACCTACAGGCCATCGACAGTAACATCTTCCTGTTGCAAGTCATCCTTGGGCTCATTGACATTCCAGCCAAGATAGGCTCCCTGATGCTGCTGAGGTGTCTGGGCCGCCGCTCTGTGCAGGCAGCGTCCCTGGTGCTCGGGGGGCTCTGCGTCCTGGCCGACGCGCTGGTGCCCCGCAGTGAGCGGGCAGGTCTGGGGCTCGCTGCTGCAGCCAGGGGCCCGACCCAGGCCGGGGGGTGGGTCCTGAGCCGGGAGCTGCCTGCCCTCGTCCCCTCCTTAGAGGATGCCGGACCGGAAAAGGGGCCCAGTTAGGAAGGAGGCTCCGGGGGTGACCAGGACAGATGACGGTGGCCTGTACTGGGCGGTGGGAGCAGGGATGGAGTGGGGAGGGTGATATTGTGACAACTGTGGAGATAACATAAGAACTCAGAGACAGATGGTGGGGACAGGGGCACGGAAATAGTGGGAGGGGTGGCATCAGGGAGGGCTTTCAGGGTCAGGCTCTGCGTGTCCCTGTGGGGGCAGATTGGGGGCATCAGGGAATGGGCCATGAGGTCACATAGGAAATGGTGCATGTGTGTGCTCTGGGGACACCCAAGTGGAGGTGACTCACAGACATCGAACGTTCAGGGAGAGAGCCTTCATCGGACCCTGGGGCCCCCGCCACCATCCCTACTAACCCCATCTCTATCTACGGAGATGAGGTACCTGCAATCAGCCCTAGCCATCCTGGGCTCGGGTGTCTAGGGACCTCCTACACCCACATCAGCATCTACATGGGGGAGCTCTTCCCCACCTTGCTCAGGTGAGGCGGTACCTGGGCCCAAGAAGGGGAGTGTCCTGGGCGGGGACCACAGGCTGTGGGTAGTCTCCCCAGACCTAGTTGTCCCTGCCTACTGCCTTCCCTCCATGAGGCCTCAGGGCTGGCTGCCCACATGTGTTCCTGCCCAGCCTGACCTATGGTGGCTCCCCATGCAAGGTAGGGCTGGGCCAGGTGGGAGATCAAGGCCACAAGCGGGAAGAGTGGCCCCTCACAGGTGTCCCTGTGCCAACAGGATGACTGCTATGGGCGTGGGCCACAGCGCGCTCCGGGTGGGAGCCATGCCGGCGCCTTTGGTCCGGGTGCTGGGCGTACACCATCGCACGCTGCCCCTGCTGCTGTACGGGGCCGTGCCGGTGCCGAGTGGCCTGCCCGCATTGCTGCTGCCCAAGACCCAGAGTCTGCCGCTGCCCAACACCATCCAAAATGTGCAAAACCAGTAAGTGGGCCCAGCCCCGGGACCCACGCCTTCTCCTTCTATTGATCCCCCGAACAGGGTGGCCTGGCCGCCCACCTCCATCACTGGACAGAAGAATGAGGCCCAGAGAAGGCTAGGATTGGCTGAGTCACACAGCACCTCTTTGAGAGTGGAGGCCAAGGGCTGGGTCTCCCAGCTGACAGTGTGGAGTGTGTTCCCTGCCCTTCGTTCCACCCTTGGAGGCCCAACGGCCCAGCTATGCCCATCTCCACCTTGCGAGAGGTCAAGGGGGAGGATGTGTAGCCCTGTGTTTGGCGCAGAGCCAGGGCCATCATGGCCATTGCTGGGGATCCTCACTGACCCCAGACTCTACTACTAAAGTTCCTCGGTGTCTGTGGCGGCTGTCACTGCCCACCCACCCTCCATCATATGCTCAGGGAGTTCAGTCCTGGGCCCCTGAGAGCAGCAGCATCTCTGAGTCCTCAGGATGGACACAGGGCCGAGGTCGGGGGTCAGCGCACCTGCGAGAGCCAGCCCCTTCCTGTCTTTCCTGAACAGGACAGTAAAGAAGGCAACACATGGGACCCGGGTGCACTCTGTCCTGAAATCCACGCAGTTTTAGTCTTCCTGGGAGAAGAGCATTCTGTCCTCTGTTGAAGGCAGGTGAGCAAAGGCCTCGATTTCCAGAGGGTCCGGGGCTGCCCCTCACTGTCTGAGGAGCCCCCTCAACACACACAGGGAAAAGGATGGTGTGATGGGCAGCCAGCCACCTGCCCCTCACTCTCAGCTGCGAAGAGGAGCTGCGACCAGCGCCGGGAGGCGACCAGCCTGTGGACCCCGAGCCCCTGACTCTTGCCGCCCCGGCTTAGAGGCTTATCATCCCCCACAGCCACAATCCCCTGAGCTTCTCCCTGCGGCCTGAGGGCTCTGCGCAAGCGCTGGGGCCTCAGATCCCCAACTTCACGCAAAGGGTTGCTCCTGGATCCGCCAAACCTCTCCACACTCCAGCCACACGGCCGTCCTGCCTGCCACCCATAGCTTGGCCCTGGAATCCCCCTGACCACTTCTCCACAAACTCCCTCTCAACCTCCTAGACCCAGGCCAGCGTCTTCATTCCAGGGACCCACGGCCCAGCCCGGGGATCGGATGAAACCCGCTCCCACAGCCAATGCCACATGCCTATCTCCCATCCCCGCCAGCCTGGGAGCCTCCAGAGGGTTGGGATGTCCCCAGCTGCTCCCCCGACCCCAGAGCAGGGGCAGAAGAACATTCGTGGGAGGCAGACGAGTGAATAACGGAACCAACGACTGGCCTTCACCAACTCAGTGGTGGGCCCAGGTTCTGCCAGGGCGGGGGCTCCTTGCTGGCATGGCCCTTTCCCAGGCCTGCTCTCCCACCCGGAGAGTCGGCCGTAGGAGCTGCCCTTTCCAGCCCCTGTTGTGGGCCAGGCACCACGCTGGGCACATCAGGGCATCATCTCATTTCATCTTTTCCTGAATCCTTGGAGACAGACCTCACCCTTTTTCGTAGAGGGGAAAACCGAGGCTCAGGGACAATGACTGCCCAGGACACACAGCTAGGAGGGAGCAGAACCAGGGATCAAGCCCTAGTCTGTAAGTCTCCAGAGCGCCTCTCTGGCCACCACACCCCTAGTCTGCCCTCAGGCCTCACCATCCCTCTCAGAACCTGCTGGGTCCCTGCAGGGTCCTCGGGAAACACCACGCAGGGCCTCAGGCAAAAAAGGGCAGGCCCAGGATCTCCCCTCTACCAGCTGACAGATGTGGCTGCAGGCAGGAGCCCCCTGCTGCCCGGTGGGATCCCCGCCAGCTGTGTTCTGGTGGTCTCTGGGCCACCTGGGCCTGTATCACTGCTTCCAGGCACCTCAGCAGAGAGCTGCACACCTCCACATGCACACAGAGACACCAGTGAATTGTACACGTCCACACATACATACAGAAGGAAGTTAATGGGAAAACAGAACACAGCACCTTGCCCCCTCCCCCCAGGGAGATGGGGTCACTCCCTGGCCTGGTCTTAGCAGCTGGAGCCTCAGGGCCTCTGGGGGTTACGTCCTTCAGTCATCAGACCATGGTTAGCCCTTAGGGAAGACCCCCAGGGCTGAAGGTGTCCCAGCCCCACCTAGACTTTCCGTCTTTGCCTGCTGCCCAGCTGAGCCCCAGATGTCTTTCCTACCCTTACTCAGCATTCCTGGGGCTCCATGGTGTCCAGTAGCTTCCAGAAGGCAGAACTCAGGGCTGGTGGGAGATGAATCCTGCTCTCCCCTGGGGTGTCCTCTGGCTCACTAAGTGGTCAGAGAGGCCTTGCTCCCAGTCCTTCCAGGTGGTCACAATCTTCAGGACCCAAGGCCCTGCACCCCTGGGCTACTAGGAAATGTCATCACCATGGCAGAGTGGGCGCCCTGTGAAGGGAGAAGGGTCATCCCCAGGCAGCAGCCACAGACCTGCGTTATAGCCACGCGCTGATAGCTGAATGGGAGGCCTTCACCTGGGACACACCCTCTTTCAATGACTGCCACAGGGAGCTCCTGGCTCCAGAAGCTGCTGGAGACCCTGCAACAAAGGAGCCAAGGGGACTGGGTTTGGGGAAGAAGAACCCACCAACTAATCCCATGGTCTCCTGCCCCCATGGTGGCGGAGGCCTCAGGCAGCAAAGACAGAAAAGTGACTCAGGACTTACTTTGCTCATTCTCCTGCCCCCAGTGAGTGCAGTAGTTCACACAGGAGGGAGCGTGGGGAGGAGCAGTGCTGGGCACCATGGGCTCCATATCCACCTCCAGGAGGGGGACATCCTGCCAGAAGAGCCCCAGCACTGGCTGAGCTGCTGTCCCCTCCCCTGGGCGCTTGCATGGCCAGCGGAGGTCTGCAAAGCCAAAGACTTCAGCCAGACTTCACTTCGAGCTTCTTCCCCATACCCTGTCCTTGGTCAACCCTCCCCCCCCCCCCCCCCCCGCCGGTGGAACCTCCTGACACATCCCTGCAATTACTGTCAAGGACGGAGTCCCTGGAGTTTCAGTCACCCCCAGGTGCTGTTTGAGCTCTCCTGGGGGTCACTGCCAGGCCAGCCAGAACCTGAGGGCCCAGGTCGGGCCCAGCTAAGTTCAACATCGGATGTCTTAGACAAAGGAGCTGAGTCCGAGGCAACCATCTCTTACAGATGGGTAAACTGAATCAACGGCAGGGTCCAGGAATCCTTCCTTACAACCAGGCCTTTGAGTGACAAGAGCTCTCAGCTTCCTTATGCAGAGAGGGAACACCCAGTCCCACAGCCACATGACCCTGAGCAGGACTGAAGTCCATTCTCCCAACTCCTGCACTGTCCCTCTCTCTGGACCCCCGTATCTGACAGACTGTTCAGGGCCCTTCTACAAATTTCTTAAGCAAGCATGTGCCTGTTTTTATTTTCTTCGGTGATAGGGAGAGAGGACAGCAGCAGAGGACCCAGGGGCAAGGCTATCGCCTGCATAGGGACAGGACATCCCGGCGAGACTGCCCCAAGTCAGAGCCTCAGCCAGGCTTCCGTGAGGCATGAGAGCTGACCTTGGGGGTGCCAGCCTCAGGCTCCAAGACTGGGAGCCGTGAGGGAAAGGGGGTGCCGGTGCCTCCCCCAGCCGGGGTGGCTGGTTTAGGAGGACAAGGGGAGGGCAAAACCATGGACATCCATACCCCAGGCAACTGGGGGGGGACAGCTCTGCTTTCCTTGATAGGACTCTGGGGAGGACTCAAGGACTTTTGGGCGCCACATCCCATAGTGGGGAGGGTCCCAAGACAAAAGCTTCATCCCAGGATGGAGGGAAGGAAGGGAAGATGAGCTAACCTGGGTGTGCTCCCAGAAGCATTGACCTCAAGGGCCTGGGAGGTGTCTAAGCCTAAACAGGGACCAGGCTCAGGAACTGGGAAATGCCACAAGAATGAGCTGGGCGGCAGCAGAGCCGCCTCAAATGAAGACGCAGGAAGCTGAATCAGGCTTTGAAAGGTGATGGCAAGCTGAGGGCCCAAGAAAGCAGAGCACAGAGGGGAGGTAAGCACCCTGAGCAGAAGGCAGAGGAAACCTGAGTGTTCACAGGTGTGGTGACCTGACCCACCACCGCCACCAGGGAGATGCAGACTCATCTACACTCTGCTCTCCTGGGGGTACCGGCACACGCGGGTCCTCAACTACAACCCCCACCTTTAGAGGCCCTGCACCTTGTGATTGTGGCATGCTCGAGGGCTTCACAAATACAAGCCATCTCTCAGCTTTGTCTGCGCCCGTGGGCCTGTTTAGGTTCTTCACGTAGGAGCGAACACCTGGGCCTGAGTCCACACCTGCAGCCCCAGGAACTGCCCACGCGCAGCTGGGGTGGACAGGGAGGCTGTGATCAGGGAGGACAGGGTCCCAGCCTCTAGAGATGTGGAAGGCAAGAGCCTCTGGAGTCAGGCAGAGCTGGGGGCAAATCCGGATACAGCTGCTGATTCACCCGCCTTGAGAGCACGGACGGCCTTCTGTGCCCTTGCCACCCAGGTATAACTCTGCCTCTCCCGAGAGCTGTGGTGACCACTAGGGGACAACAGGATCCTCCTGCCTCTGGGGACTCGTCTCCATTCAGGCAAACTAGGGCCCTAGCGTGGGTTGGCCCAACCAGGGCCACAGAGCAGCCTTCACCCACAAGCCTGGGGGCTGGTCCCTGCCCTCACCCTCTGCCACGAGGAGACAAAGACAAGGAGACAAAGACAAACTGCCCCACGCGCCCAAAGCCATGCTCAGCCCAAAAGTTTGGGGACCACTTACCAACTCTCATGGGCTCCAATTTGGGACCTGAGCCAGGGCCAGTGTCCCAACAACTCCCACCCAGAACAAACTGCACAGGACCGTTGGGTTTGGAAAGTTTTTGTTTTCTTTTCCCACACATTTCCGGGGTTGGGGTGTTTTCCAAGACTCAGACACAGTTGTTAACAAAGAGAAAAAATTGGGGGAGCAGGGAGCCCTGGGCAGAGAAGCGACCCCAGCAGTCTGAGGGCAACGCCTCACTCTCCCCCCCTGCTGCTGGCGCCTCCCGGGCCGCCCAGGCTGCTGCTCGCGGTATCTAGATTATTTGTCTTTAATATATATCTGCATTTGCCTTTCCCCTCCCACCCGCCCCCCACCCCTGCTCCTCCAGCAGTTCCCCCAGCAATGCACGTCGCCCGGCGGCACACAACAGAACAGGCCTCCCCCGGCCCAAGCCCCTTCCCTGGGCCGCACCAGGAAGGCACCTCCCCCACCGCATGGGTGGAGTCGGGGCGCTCGTAGGGTCACCTGCTGCCCCGCCCCCTCCCTCTCTGGGCACTCGCCCACCCTCCCCCCTTCTCCCGCGGACTCTGGAAACCCAAAGGGAGGAAAGGAAGGGAGAAACCAGACACACAAAAAAAGAAATGGGGAGGAGGATGGGGCAGAGAGACTGCAAGCCTGGGGTGGGGACTGAAGGGCTTGGAAGAGAAGGAAGGCAGGAGGGACAGATAGAGGAAAAAGAAAAGTTGAGGAAAATGAACAGGACAAGTAGTGGACACTTTACAAAACCCCCAGCCTTCCTTCCCGCCCAACCCCACCAAAATAAAACTACCCCCCTTAAAAAAATAAATCAAC